GCCCCTGCGGCCCTCTGTGGACTCGTGGGCCCTGGGGGTGCTTCTCTTCTGCGCTGCCACGGCTTGTTTCCCCTGGGATGTGGCACTGGCTCCCGACCCGGAGTTTGAAGCCTTTGCCGGCTGGATGACCACCAGGCCCCAGCCCCCTCGGCCACCAGCCCCTTGGGACCAGTTTGCACCCCCAGCTCTGACCTTGCTCCAGGGCCTTCTGGACCTGGATCCCGACACCAGGAGYCCCCCGCTGGCTGTTCTGGACGTCCTGGGCGATGACTGGGGGTTGGAGGGGGACGCAGAGGGRCCCAGAGGCCTGGGGAGGCTGTCCTTTGAGGAGGTGGCAGAAGCGGAGGAGGGAGGGTCAAGCTTGGAGGAGTGCACAGACGAGGAGGAGGAGGGAGGCAGAGTCGGCAGAAGCATGGGGACAGATGGGGAGATCCCCGACCAGGTGACTGAGGCAGGTGGCCCAACCTGGGCCAAAGGCACCCCCCTGTCCCCATGGCCACCTGGAAGGCAAGACAGCTGCTCGGGGGAGGACAGAACAGAAACACATTGCACCTTCCCCTAGTGAAGGCCAGTCCCCACCCCAACGGAGGACCAGGGTCCAGGCCAGCCTCCTCCTCAGACCAGGGTCCAGGCAGCCTCCTCCTCAGACCAGGGTCCAGGCAGCCTCCTCCTCAGACCAGGGTCCAGGCAGCCTCCTCCTCAGACCCGGGTCCAGGCCCAGCCTCCTCCCTCAGACCCAGGGTCCAGGCCCAGCCTCCTCCCTCAGACCCAGGGATCTGGACCCCAGCCTCCTCCCTCAGACCCAGGGATCTGGACCCCAGCCTCCTCCCTCAGACCCAGGGATCTGGACCCCAGCCTCCTCCCTCAGGCCCAGGAGTCCCAGCTCTGTCCTCCCACAAGGACCCTTCCTTTGTCCTAGGTGTGTCTTCTCCGAGGAAGGTCCTGTCTGCTCTATAGATATGTTTCTGTACTCTGGGGACATATTGAAAGCTTGTCATGGGTTCTTGTGGGACCACTCCTCTCTGAAGACTRCAGGTGTCACCCAGTGTCCTGGTACCAAATCTGAACGTGGAGGATCCGACCTGACGTCTCTGGCTTCCACCTCTCCCCTTCCTCTGGCTCTGAGTGAGGTGGTGGAAGTCGCTCATCCATTCTGGGCCCCATCTACTCCCTCTCCCCCTCCCCTCGCCGCCCCTGCCCCCTCCTGCTCCGGGTCCACCCCCACCCCAGGCTCCTCTGGACTTGGTGACAGAGCCATCTGTGTCTGTCTTGTCTTTGCCCCCCATCTGACACTGTCCAGGGTGGACTTGGTCTTTCAGATCCTTCYGGATTCTCCTCCCATAGAGCACCGAGCACCAAGGCTAGTGTTGTCCAGCTGTCTTCCAGAGACCCGTCCATTCCACGAGCCAGGCTCCCCTTCTCCCCCACAGCGCCTCCCTAGGAGGACAGCTCTGCCTGCAGCACCAGCCAGGCCCATCCTGTCCCCGCAGAGGGTCAGGGGCTGGACACGGCCCCTGCACAGGAAGGAACTCAYGCTCTCTGGATGCAAGAGTGAGTCCACTGAGCAGGACTCTGGGACAGGAAAAGGCCCCTGGTGGCAGCCCTGGTGAAAGGATCCTGTGGAGCTTTAAGGGACGTGGGGAGAGCTGGCTGGGTGACGGCACACAGGCACTGCAGATTCTGCCACTGTTCCATGAATCTAGAACTACAGCAAAATAAAACGCTCATTAAAAAATACAGCAGGGCTGGGCTGCGGCTCCGAGGTAGAGCGCTCTCCCGGCACGTGCCTTCCAGGCCCTGGGTTCGATCCTCAGCACCACATGAAGATAACTAAATAAAATAAAGGCACTGCGTCTACAACTAATAAATAAACTTAAAAAAAATTAAAGTGACTCCCATTATCCCCAGGCCATATCCCCCAGAGAAGGGAGCAGCTGTCCCAGAGGCGGAGGGACCTGCCCTCCCAGTGGCCCGGCCACCTGCTCCCCCGGTGCTGAGGTCATGTCTCACTGCATCGCTCTGGAATCCTGTCGTCTCATCCTTTCCCCAGGCGGGACCCCGACCCAGGACACGTCCTCAGAACACTTGTGTCTGTCCTGTCAATAGACGATGGAAGGTCACAGCTGGGGGGTGTGTCACGCGGGGTCACATTTAAAAGATTTTATCCTCTAAGAATGATTGGATCCCCGGGCTGAGGAACTGGGGCTGGGGTCCTTTCTGCAGCATCTGAGGGGGGAGGCTGGGCCCGGACCCCGGGTCTCAGGGGGGAGGCTGGGCC